CAAAAATTTAAAAGTAGCCTGAGTGTTGTTTTACACCGTTCGAATATTTCCAAGAGGCAATGGCAAAGCTCTCGATGACTACCGGTTTCGTTTTTTCGAATCGAAGTTTAATCGAAGTTTTCAAGGCTAATTCGAAGTTTTCAGGATAAATTACAGTAGGATTTTTACGTAACTTCAACAGTTGTGCGCACAGCTGATATTTCAATTTTGCTTGTTTTTTTTTTACTTGTTTGTTTGTTTACTTGTTATTTGTTCGTTTGTTGAAGTTTTGTTTTTTTTTGCTCACGTCGTTTTTTTTTCTCACACGAAATAGCAATATATTTTTTGCATTTTTCCTTGTTTTTATCATCATGGATCTTTTATCATCATGAGACACCTTCACAAATTCTTGTTTTATCGTCATGGATCTTTTATCACCGTGAAATCTCTTGTTTTTATCATCGGTGGATCTTTTTAAAACATTCCATTTTGATAAATGACAACAGGGTGTTATAGAAAACTTTATTTTTCGTTGTGAAACACGGCACGATTTATCCGGAAAAACTGGAAAAATACTGAATTGGTGTGCTGGAACAGTAGTTGCCACTGCGAACATGTTGATTTTACTCGACCAGTGGAAGCAAATGTAATCGTTTAGCACGAAGTAGTCAGTAAAGTAAGAGAATTTTGGAAAAAAAATCGTCCTCTTATTAGAACCACAAATAAGCAAAATTCCGTAGTAAAACAAATAAGAATTTCTTGCAAATTTCCCGCTGAACGGTATTTTTTTGGAACTGGAATTGCAGGATTTTCAAATCACTGAAATAGTAGAATAGAAGGACTGGACTTATATGTCATGTGTAAAAAGACATTTTACGCGATGCAGTCTCTCTGTGTTTCATTCCTTAGCTGTAAACACAGACCGAACTTTGCATGCGGCTAGAAGCGGGAATCATCAGAAGTTGAAATACCTAGTTCGCCTGGGGTAATCAGTGTGGCTACTTCCTTTCAGTGATGTTATTGGGATGTTCCTATACAGAGGGTGCAGTTATGTCAGACCGTTCGTTCACTCCAGTTAGTGCTCGTCACCGCTGCGTTCCCCTAATCGAAATAAGGGGGGGAGGGGGTAATTCTATCATGTCAGACCTGGAGTTGCTGCCGATGAAATTACCAGTCTAGGGATCAGCAATGGGTTCTAACTGAAGATTTTGCC